AGAGGGCATCCCAGGTTGGACAATAGCCCAGGCAAAGGTCTGGTTTGGACAGGATAGCTGTCTGTAAGGGAGGAGCTGGAAGGTCCTCAAAGGCATAGAATAGTGGGACAAGAATTCTTGCTGGAAAGGGTATGAGGGGGCTTGGTCTGACACATGATTTCATGTGGGAAGAAATCCTCCTTCAAGACAAGGTTGTTTCCAGGATGACCAGGGGCCTGGACAGTGTAATTCCTTGTTTTCTGCAGAAAAAGCACAGATGCACTGGGAACTGATCTCAGAACTGCATTTGGGTGGCATCTGGGCCTCCTGGGTCTGTACCAGGTCCTACAGTCTGAGAGGGGCCTATAGTGCAGATTAAAATCTGATTCATTTCCCTTCTGTATCTGGACCTGTCACCTATTCTCCCATCTGAGCTCCCTGATAATTGGGCCTCCCCTTCTGGGCACCAGGAGAAGGGCCTTGACCTCTGGTCACCACTACCTCCTGTCCTACTCCCTACTCATGCCTGGGGGTTAAGGACTAAATCTGACCCTGCTGCCTCCAGCTTTGGTTCTCTCAGGAGTGAGAGAGACAGAAGGGAGGGAGAATGTTCATTCAGGTCTCTCATATACCAAGCTGTCTTGCTATAGGAGGTCTTCATTTAAGTGATATAAACGACATAATGAATGATGAATTTGCTAATAGTTTATTGAAAGTTCAGAAGTACTGGGATGCTTGGGTGGCTCAGTCAGTTAAGCATCTGACTCTTGGTTTCAGCTCATGTTATGATCTCAGGTTCATGAAACGGAGCCCTGCATCGGGCTCCACACTCAGTAAGGAGTCTGCTTGAGATTCTTTCTCCTTCTCCCTCTGTCCCTCCCGCTCTGCTCTCTCTGTCTCTCTCAAAAACAAATGAATATATTTTTAAAAGTTCAGAAGTATTGCATATACAGCTATTTCCTATGATAGTCTTAGGTGAAAAGAGAGGGCATAATGTTTATAATTAATTTTTAATGTCATCAAATTAATACATAAACACCATTTCAAATGTCTGGTTTTGGTTTACTAAGTAAATCAGAGTTATACTCTTCCTGATAACGACTGGAAAAGTTGGGCAAAATATAAAAAGGATCTTCCTGAAGACAACAGAGAGTTAAATAAGATACTTTAAAAATTAATTGATGAGGATCCAGCGAGGGTGGAAACCCAGAGATGAGCTTGACTTTTGGGCTTCTCTTCCACAAGGGGTGTTGTGGTCTGAAGAGCCACCAAAGTAAGGGGGACCCTGATGAACACTTAGTTTTGAGTTAGAACACAAAAGAACGCGCCGGGAGAATAAATGAGGGAACCCACCGCAGGCCTGCAGCACCTCTGGTTATTAAGCAATTGTCTCAACCCCAGATGCAGTCTTCTGTGCTTTGCTCTGTGAGGCTGGGGCTCAAACTCCTAAAACCATATTTTCCAGCCCCCTTGCTGGCTTCCTGGCATTCTGCCAAGAGGGGCTACAGAGGAAACTGAAAGGCAGTTTTTTCTGTTCCAGCAATGACAGTTAGCTGCAGGCTGTCACAGAGCAGCCCCTCATGTTTAGAACACCTGCACCGCTGAGCAAGGTCCTGTCCTCAAGAGGTCTGCTCCCCAGCAGCACAGGGCCCTCCCATAAGCTTCTGTCTCCTACCACCTCTTCCCATTTTTTCCTAAATGGGCCCTGAGCTGGATCAGCTTTGTTTGGAAGGATCTGTAAAAGGATTAAGGTCATCTCAGAGGGCTACTCAGTGTACCCAAAGGAGTCAAGAAGGGAGAGAACAGGCAAAATGAAGAGAAAGCACTATTAGAACTTTCAGAGCAATATTGCAGACTGCAGCCCATTTGGAGCCTGAGGGAAAAGGAAAACACGTGTTCTGATATACATTTTCAATGATGAACTTTTCTAGAACACTAAAATAGTTGAAAAATATTAAAGAACTGAAAAGTAGGTGTATTAACTCACACATTATTTCATTCATACCCAAACCAGAATTTATTATAATTTTACTAAACTGGCTTTAATGGAGGCAAGCTCATGAATAAAATTTTCCTCTTTTTTTTTTTTTTTGGCTTTGTAAGTTTCTATTTTAATTCTTGTTTGTTAACATACAGCATTATATTAGTTTCAGGTGCACAATATTATATTGGTTTCAGCAATTCCATACATCACCCAGGGTTCAACAAGTGCACTCCTTAAACCCCATCACCTATCTCACCCATCCCCCCACCCACTCGTCTCTGATAATCATCAGTTTGTTTTCTACCGTTAAGAGTCTGTTTCTTGATTTGTCTCTCTTTCACTCTCTTTTTTCCCTTTGTTTGTTTTATTTCTTAAATTCCACACGACTGAAATCATACGGTATTTGTCTTTCTCTGACTGATTTATTTGCTTGGCATTATACTCTCTAGCTCCATCCATGTCATTGCAAATGGCAAAATTACATTTTTTAAAAAAAGATCTATTTATTTATTTATTTGATAGAGAGAGAGAGAGAGAGAGATCACAAGTAGGCAGAGAGGCAGGCAGAGAGAGAGAGGGAAGCAGGCTCCCTGCTGAGCAGAGAACCCAAAGAGGGGCTTGATCCCAGGACCCTGAGACCATGACCTGAGCCGAAGGCAGAGGCTTAACCCACTGAGCCACCCAGGCACCATACATTTTTCTTTATAGCTGAATAATACTCCATTGTGTGTATACATGTGCATGCCTGCGCGTGCACATGTGTGTTTGTATGCATGTATATATGCCTCATCTTCTTTACCCATTCATCATTCATTGGACACTTGGCCTGCTTCCATGGTTTTTTAAAGATTTTACTTATTTATTTGACAGAGAGAGAGATCAGAAGTAGACAGAGCAGCAGGCAGAGAGGTGGAAGCAGGCTCTCTGCTGAGCAGAGAGCCCGATGTGGAGCTTGATCCCAGGACCCTGAGATCATGATCTGAGCCAAAGCCACTGAGCCACCCAGGCGCCCCATTGCTTCCATAATTTGGCTATTGTAAATAATGCTGCTATAACCACAGGGGTGCATTTATCCCTTTGAATTAGTGCATTTGTATTCTTTGGGTAAATACCCAGTAGTGCCATTGCTGGCTCTGTAGGGTAGTTCTATTTTTAACTTTTTGAGGAACGACCATCCTATTTTCCACAGTGGCTGTACCAGCTTACATTCCTACCAACAGCGTACAAGTGTTCCTTTTTTTCCAATCTTGCCAACATGTGTTGTTTCTTGTGTTGTTGGTTTTAGCCATTCTGACAGCTGTGAGGGGATACCTAATTGTGGTTTTCATTTGCATTTCCCTGATAGTAAGTGACAATGAACATCTCATAAATAATATTTTCAAAATCTCCCTCTTTGTTTAGCTCATTTTCTATTGAGAGATTGAATGTTTGGCAATTTCTCTTGACCAAGTGAGGATCTTAAATAATTTCTAAATAACTGTAGCCTATGAAACTTCTTTTATAGGATGCCACTGTGACTGGTATAGTTAAAAAAAATTTTTTTAAGGCCATGTCTCAATTTGCATAAAATTCCACTAAGCAAAACCAAGAGTTTGATGTTCAACTGACTGAACTACCCAGGCTTTGAACTATATCATTTGGGGTTATTATGAAAAGTGCTGCTTTAAATATTATTTCAGGGACGCCTGGGTGGCTCAGTTGGTTAAGCAGCTGCCTTCAGCTCGGGTCATGATCCTGGTATCCTGGGATCGAGTCCCACATCGGGCTCCTTGTTTGGCAGGGAGCCTGCTTCTCCCTCTGCCTCTGCCTGCCACTCTATCTGCCTGTGCTTACTCTCGCTCCTCTCTCTCCGACAAATAAATAAATAAAATCTTAAAAAAAAAATTATTTCATATGCCTTTTGGAAAACCTATGTATGCATTCCTGTTGGATATATACCTGGGGTGAAATTACTCAGTCATGGGGTATGCATAGACTATTAGTATTAACTATTATTTTTTTTTTTTAAAGATTTTATTTATTTGTCAGAGAGAGAGGGAGAGAGAGCGAGCACAGGCAGACAGAATGGCAGGCAGAGGCAGAGGGAGAAGCAGGCTCCCTGCCGAGCAAGGAGCCCGATGCGGGACTCGATCCCAGGACGCTGGGATCACGACCTGAGCCGAAGGCAGCTGCTTAACCAACTGAGCCACCCAGGCGTCCCTTAACTATTATTTTTATTAGTCATTATCTATTATCATATTTATTATTATTAGCTGTCATTATTAGCATTAACTATTAATTTTGACTATTATTAATGCAGTTGCTATTATCATTAATGGCCTGGGGATAAGATAGTGTGGTTTTCTAAGTAGCTTGTGCTTCTCAGAGAGGAAGTCCCTGAGGGACATGGGAGGGGGTGGGTCCACATCCAGGGAAGTTCAGTCATTGGAGGTCCGTGGCCCATCATGTAGCCTGGTGTTTTGGGCTCTGTCCAAATAGGAACAAAGATTATTTGTGATCCAGGCAGGTTCCCTTCTTGGGAATCCGAACCGGAGTTCCCTTCAAGATCCCCAGGTTGTGGGGCGCCTGGGTGGCTCAGTAGTTAAGCATCTGCCTTCAGTTCAGGTCACAATCCCAGGGTCCTGGGATGGAGCCCCACATCAGACTCCCTGCTCACTGGGAAGTCTGCTTCTCCTTCTCCCTCTCCCTGCCTGCCACTCCTCCTGCTTGTGTGCTTTCTATCTCTTTCAAATAAATAAAAAAAAATCTTAAAAAAAAAAATCCCCAGGTTGTGGTCAGTGGGTCAGGATGTGGACTGAGTGAGCTATTGAGAGGCAACCCAGAGGAAGATCCATTCTCCCAAAGCTGGAGCATGTGTCATCCACTGTCTTCTTCCAGTGCTGAGCCCAACCATTGGGGTCTTTTTGGGTCATGCTAATGAGACTCAGGTCTTACTTGAGTAACTAGTGGTTGACTGCAGGGTCCCCACCAACCACCAGAACTGGGATCCTGTGCCACCATCCAACCCCCCCGCCCAGAGAAGGATACTCATGCCTGGTTCCATGTGTAAAACATTTATTTTCAGGAAATGTTTGTGCCTGCATGATGGGGGGGAACATTGTGTGGTGTCTGTAGCTGCCATAGTAACATCTGGTAGGATTAACTGGGTCACCAGAACCACAGAATAAGGACTAAACAGGCAGCAATAACTGTGAGGCCTGGAGCCACTCTGGGGGGAGATTTTGACAATGATTGTCTAGGTGACCCCTTAGGTTTCCAGTGCTCTGAAGGCTCAGTTAGTTTCTGGTCTGGAGCCATGTACCGTGTCTGGTGCAGACGTGAGAGAACAGAGCGGCAAGAGCTGCCCAGCTGCTCATCTGGGATCTCATCCTCCAGCGGGCTTTGCCCCTTGCTTGCCTCCCGTACCTGGAGATAGGAGTCCGTGGTCAGCAGCTCCCACAGCACCTCCAACACACTTGCTCAGACCCCTGTGCTATTCTTTTGCCCAGCCCAGCATACCTGCTCCACCTGTCCGAAGACCCGCAGCAGATTTCCGCGAAGGACACCCTGGAGCTCTTCCTCACTCCAGCCGCGACTCAGCAACTCCTCTATCAGAACTGGGTACATGGACACGTCCTCCAGCCCCTGAGGGAACCTGAGTGGCCGCGAGCCAGCCAGCTGTGGAACCTCGGCCCTGTTCCCTGTTCATGACTCAGAACCACAGCCCTCTGTGTCCAGGTCTACTGAACCCTAGCTTTGGTCAGATATGGGAAAGGGAGACCTGAAGAGGTAAGTGATTCACACCTGCTCGTTATACTGCAGAAGGAAGCTCCTAACCACTTTGAGTCATCATAAAAACTCACTGAATTGTACTGTTAAGATCTATGTTGGGGCACCTGGGTGGCTCAGTCAGTTAAGCATCCCACTCTTGATCTCAGCTCAGATCTTGATCTCAGAGTCATGAGTTCAAGCCCCATTTTGGGATCCATGCTGGGCATGGAGCTATTTAAAAAATAAAAACAAAAAACCACAATGATCTGTGTCTTTCACTGAATACAAAATTTCCCTCCGTTTATAAAAAGAAGAAAAGCTTTTTAAGAACTGGGTTGAGGGGCACCTGGGTGGCTCAGTGAGTTAAAGCCTCTGCCTTCCACTCAGGTAGTGATCCCAGGGTCCTGGGATCGAGCCCCGCATCGGGCTCTCTGCTCAGCAGGGAGCCCGCTTCCCCCCTCTCTCTCTGCCTGCCTCTCTGCCTACTTGTGATCTCTGTCTGTCAAATGAATAAATAAAATCTTAAAAAAAAAAAAAAAGAACTGGGTTGACCTCCTGCAGGCACAGACCCAGCTGCAGGCAGAGGAAATGCTCAGTTTACACCAGACCTTGCTAAGAGTCTGCTCAGAAGCAGTGGGTCAGGGCACCCTGGCTGGCTTGGTTGGAAGAGCATGTGACTCTTGATCTTGGGGTCATGGGTTGAAGCCCCACATTGTGTTGTAAAGATTACTTAAATAAAACTTAAAAATAGAAGTAATGGGTCTGCTGGCACTAAGGGTGGGCAGATGATGACCTAGAGTGGGGCCAAGGGTTGCAAACAAACAGTAAGGCCCGGGAAATAGACTCTGGGTGTGGGGAGAGGCAAGGTGGGCCTAAAGTTGTGAGGACCACAGTGTGGTGGGCACAGTGACTATCAAGGCCCTACTGTGGCACAGCGAGTCTTAGACAAGCCATAGGGAAGCACTTACCGTCTGACCCCATCATAATCTCCGCCAATCCCAATGAACTTGGATCCAATGATTGCTCTGATGTAGTCAAAGTGATCTGGGGGATGGAGAGTCAGCAGCGTGGGGCTTCCAGGGCAGGGGTGGGATGGGGACTGCACTCTACCAATTCCCCTTCTTGTAGCTTATAGGCCGCACAGGCCAGTTCCTTCGTGGCCTGGCACCCAGTGTGCCAACTTGAGGAGGCTGATGCCAGTTGACTCTAGACTGGAATTTAGATTTGGAGTAGATCCCATTTGGGCTTTTTCTGATCCAGAATCACCCTGCCTCCAGTCTCCCTAAGAACCATGGGGGCTCCTTCCCATGGGTGTGGAGGATGAGTGGGGACAAAGAATACAACTGACAAAGACCACAGAGACTTAGGAGGCTGCCCAGTCCCTTGGTCAGAGGCAGGGGCAGGAAGCTTTGGGAGCCCCTACAGATGTGGTTGGCACCTAGGCTCTATGTCTGAATGCCTCCCTTATACCCGTGAGTATCGTAGTTACCAACTCTGTGTCTTCAGTTCCACATGGCACCAAGGTGTTTTATACCATTTATCACTGAGTTTTTAGGAACTGTGCCTGCAGCCAAGAATGAGTGAGACCACTGGGGCTATACTGAGCCTCCCTGCCCCAAGGCTTCAGGTGCAAATCAGAGCTCTTCAGAGAGCCCAGGCAGGGCTTACCTGCCACCGTGGACACGTTGGCTAATGGGTTGCATTGCAGCACCCCCACTGACAAAGTCACCATCACGATGCCACCATTCTTCTTCTGCAGGGGAGGACAAATGGACACTCAGCTTTGCCCCCGAAACACCCACCTGCCTCTAGGCTCCCGTGAAGAAGGTGTTCAGCTCTGGGTTTGACGTCAAAGGAGACTTCACCTCAAGGTTTGTGTAAACGGAGGAGTCTCCACTCTGGTTGGGATAGAAATGTCTTGCAGTATTTACCGCGTAGAACCCCCACACCTGAGCTCAGGGGCTCAGGGGCTACGGACCGTGGGTTTGTGGGGCAGATGTTCAGCCTAGGGTTTGAGAAAGTTGAGGAAACAGGGGCTCAGGTTCAAGGGCTCTTGGTTTGAGGGCCCGGGCAGTCTCTCACCAGAAGCTGTAGGATATCATCAGGAATGTTCCTGGCATTCTTGCACACACCTTGGGCAGCCGAGTGGGAGAAGATCACAGGTGACCGTGACACTTCCAAGGCTCTTCGAGCCACAGTGTCTGAGACGTGGGACAAATCGACCATCATGCCCAAGCGGTTCATTTCCAGCACCACTTTCTGCAGTGACAGGTTGGGGAAAGGGCATCAGGGGTGCAATGTCCATGAATTTTTCTGTAGGGAACTGGTGGGGCATGCACATTCACAGAGGGCAGGGTATGGAGCTAGGATCCTCACCTCACCGAACCTGGTCAGCCCAGTGATGTTTTTGTAGAAGGAATGGATGCCCTTAGCTGAGCTCTCTGCCCTGCAGGATGACCAGGAGGCAGTCTGAATGGTGGCCCTGACTTGGCCACAAGAGCCCACTGAATCCTCTAGACCTGCATCCCCCTGCAGCACAAGCTGGGCTGTGCCTGGCACAAGGAAGTCCCTACTGGGAAGCCAGTCTTGCTCTGGGAACCCCTGCTCCCCTCCCCACTCCAGGGTCAGTGCCAGATCCCAGGGGTAAAGCTTGGTCTGAGCCCCACTGTGATCTCAGGCAGATGCCTGCATCAGTGGACGCATACCATTTACACTGTGCTCACCACGGTGTGTTGCATGTGTGAGTGAATGTCAGGTAGCGCACACCCAGCACATAGAAGGAACGCAAGACGGAAAGGCTACTGTCCAGCGAGTGGCCACCCTCCACACCAATGAGGCAAGCCAACTTCCGGGTGTTGTTCAGAGCTGGGGACAGGTAGGTCAGAGGGATCACTTTCAGAGGCTGGGGTATTCGGACAAGTCCCTAACACTCTCCACCCATCTGCCTACCTTGAACTGAGGTCACAAGCTCCAACTCAGAATAGGAGGCACACATGCGGTGGATGAGGTCGATCTGCTCCAGGGTGAGGCGCAAGGCATCCCGTTCCTGGGTCTGGCAGGGGACGTAGGCTGACCAGAACTGGGGGAATGCCATGGGTTGGCTTGGGCAGGGGTTGCTTTCAAGCTCCCTGGGCTTCTCTCCTTCACAGCCCACACAGCAGAAGTGGTCACTTATAATGCATTGCTTGTTCTGTGGTCTGTGGATGCTCACCAAACAAGTTCACTGTGACCCCTGCAGGCCCCAGCATCCATGTTGTGTTATTTTGGGAGGCCCTACTGTAACTGAGTTCCCATGTGACTAACCTGTGGTCTCTGGGGTCCCCACACTCCCTCTCAGCCTTTCCGTCTGTCCTTGTGGTACCTGGGCGCCCACGAGACCATCTCTAAGCCTGTCCAGGCTGGTGTGGCCATGGCTGAAATTGCGCAGATTGACATCCTGTAGTCTGTTGCCGTAAAACTGCCTCAGAACAAGGGGCATGTCGTTGTGGCTAGAGGGAGGGCAAGGCAAGGTCCGGTTAGGGTGAAATGGGTGGGGTCCTTAGGCTTTGGGATCAAGCAGGACCTGGGCCAAGGTTGGTGCGGGGAATGCCCCCTCCAGACCACACTGTCACCAGGCTATACTAGAATCCCTTGAGGACTAGGCTGGGGGTTCTCACCAGGGACGGAATGAAAGAGGAAGGGAAAAGGCACCCAAGGATGATGGGAGAGTGCGTCCAGGGGTGGTGCGAGGGAGTTTCCTCACTAGCCCTGCATGCTGAGAACTCCTTCCCCCGCTTTGGGGTGGGCTCCGTTTCCACCCGCCCTCACGCCGCACCTACGCACCCGTCCACGAGAGGGAAGTCCCGCATCAGGGCTCGCGCGCGCTCCCGCAGACTTGGGGCGCTGGAAGCAGCCGGCTTGGCGCGGGAGCTGGGAGTGGCTGGCGGGGTCGGAGAGCTGGAGGTTCCCGGTGTGTTTTGGGCACGGGTTATAGGCCGCGGCGGCAGCAGCAGCATTAGGAGCAGGAGACGTAGCAGAGATCGCCGGAGGATCGCGGGGGTACCCTCGAGGCCCAGGGGCTGCATGCTGCTCAGGGCGGCACAGACAGGAGGGGGCCAGTGTCGAGAGCCTGAGGGGTGGCGAAGGACAGAGAGTGGCGATAGAGTCCGTAACGTCGACTCGGACCACGGCAGCGCGGTCTGGCAAGGGGAGAACAGACTCGCAGGATCTCGACCCGGGCGCGCAGAGCATGCGCTCCGTCCGCCCCCAGCCAACCGGACACCACCACCCTCTGGGCGACTCTCCTCTCATCCTTCTCTCCTCATCTCCAGTGCTCCGAGGGACTAACCCAGGTTGCTCTGCTACTGTCTCTAACCTTGCTCTCCAGGAGAGAAGGCTTGGGGTGCTCCTCCCAGAGAGCAGCCTCTCTCAACCACATCTGGTCCCCAATCTGCCTACATCCTGCACCAGCCACCCTGAGGGCTACATGCAAATGTCTGTGGCCACAGTACTCTGAGCTTTCTCGGATTCCTGCTGCTGAGCCACAGTGAGGGTGGGGTTGGGAGGAGACAGTTCCTGGAAATGAGGGGTTAACCTTGAGGACTTAGCATTCAGGAAGAGGCCCTCTGCCCCCCACCTCTCTCTCCCCTACCTTACTTCCTGGCCTACTTGTCCATCCCCTGGGGGACTCAAGCCTGAACCGGGAACTGTCAGGGGCGCCCCCTCCCCCTGTCTTCCCCAGTCAGTCTCAGGCAAGAGCTCCCTCCTCAGGAGATGCTACACCTCTGAATGAAGAGATTTTTGGGATGTGAACTGGGCAACCTTGGCGGGTGGGGGCGGGTGGGGAGGTGGGGGGGGTGGGGGCTAGGGGGGTGGGGGGTGGCTTACTGAACAGAGTAGGACTTCAGCAAGCTCTTTGAGTGGGAGGAAATAAAGTCATTTGTAGGGCAGCAGAGCACCCCTCCCCCCATCTCAGCAACATCCCTCCCAGAGCTTCAGGTTGGGCTGTTGGTCAGGGTCCCACCTACCTCCGTGTGGAAGCCTGGTCTTCACTGAAGTCAGATATATGGCTCCCAAGGAAAGGCCTGGCATCTGGGTTCTGAGGCTACGTTCGTCTTATCTTCTTGCTCCTGTGGCTCTAGCTCTTCCAGAAAACTAGGCTGAGTTGCATTCTTCCTCTGTAGGCCCCACCCTCATTCCCAGCCTCAGGCCTTCGCCCTAGTTGCCTTTTCCAGGAACCACCTACACACACACATCCATCCCACATACAAACAGTGGAATTCATCCTCTCCCAGAAGCTCCACCACGGAGAGGCCTCAAGGTCTCTGCCCAAACTCCTTCTTCCCCAGTCTCTCAAGGTTCCACTGTGAACCTTGGCACCCTCTGGAGCTGTTTCACCTTTGGAACCTTCTCCAGGTGGCAGGAGTGACCTGTGCGGGGGTAGTGACCTAAATCTGGAGACCTTGGAAACCCCCCAAGAAAGGAAGTGAGGAAAACTCTGCCAGCTTGGGTATATCTGAGTGATTGTGCAGATGATGGTGCCTGATGTAGTCAGGCAGGGGTGAAGGGCAAACCGGTGGCACTGTGCTGGGGGTGGGTCTGCTGACTGCTGCAGCTGGAGGGTTCTCTGGGCAGCCCCACTGCAGAGTGTCCCCTGGGGTATTCCTTGAGCCCAAGCTCAGACCTGGCTCCCTCCTTTCTCCCCCTATGGCTGGCCAGCCACCCCACGCCCACTTATGAAGCCAGTGAGTGTGGAAAGGGAGGAGAAACTCTTGGACCAGCTGGTCTCCAAGACAAAAATGTTAGTTTGAGGAATAAACAATTTGTCTGTTCCACTCTTAATTGCCCCCCAAGAAGTGGGAGTATGAACAATGGGGAAAGGTAGGGAGGAAATCCAGAATAAATAACAGCTGCGACAGAGGAATAAGAAGGGAGAATTTAATTTTTTTTAAGATTTATTTATTTATTTATTTGACAGATAGAGATCACAAGTAGGCAGAGAGGCAGGCAGAGAGAGAGGAAGAAGCAGGCTCCCTGCTGAGCAGAAAGCCCGATGCGGGGCTCGATCCCAGGACCCTGGGAACATGACCCGAGCCAAAGGCAGAGGCTTTAACCCACTGAGCCACCCAGGCGCCCCATGAAGGGAGAATTTAATTTTTTTTTTTTTATTTGTTTGACAGATTACAAGTAGGCAGAGAGGCAGGCAGAGAGAGAGAGAGGAGGAAGCAGGCTCCCTGCCCAGCAGGGAGCCCGATGCGGGGCTCGATCCCAGGACCCTGGGACCATGACCCGAGCCGAAGGCAGAGGCTTTAACCCACTGAGCCACCCAGGTGCCCCGAGAATTTAATTTTTGAGGTTAGCTTTTCTCCAGGGACCATATGTCTTACACCCCAAGACTTGAAGGAAACTGTTGCCCAGCAGAGACAGGCAGTGCTGAACCCGAGAAAGTGGGCACCATCTCTGTAGACCATCAGCCAGGGGGAATAATTTTCAGTAACGTTCCACTTCAGTCCTTAAGCTAACTAACACTGCTAGTCATGGCCTTGAGGTGACCATACAAAGTCAACCACAGAAACACAGACATACCCAGACCCTTATATGGTTAGGGACATGTGAATGCTCATACTCAAGGAGCAAGGGGGTTTTAGCCGGGTGGCCTGTTCTTCTTTTTACCTCACCCGAGGCCATCTCTCTATCCTGTCCTGTGCAGGGGGAAATAAACACATACTAATGAAGACTTGTCCCATTCCTTTCTCCCTCCGCCGCTCCCTCCCTTCCTCTCTCTGTCCCTCCCTCCCTTTCTTTCTCTCTCTCTCTCGCTCTCTCGCTTGCTTGCCGTTTAGAAGACTCCAGCATCTGTGGATAGACCTGGACAATTTTGGGGGAGGAACTATGAGAAGTTATCCAGGTTCTGGCAGTGTACACAAGAGGAAACAAGGGGGGAAGCCCAGGGCCTGCCTCCAGAGCTGACCTGAATGTCATCTGTGATACCTCCTACCCTCTGTCCACTTCTCCCCTTTAACAGCATCTCCAAATCATTCTGGTTCAACCTCCAAACATCTCCCAGGGGTAGTTTCTCCATTCTCACTACCTCTTCCCCAGTTCCAGTCACCTTCATCTCTCACCTCCTCCTGCTCTTCCCACTTTTAGTCCATTCCCCAACTGAGCAGCCAGACCTATCTCTCTTTGAGAAAAATCTGTCATCTTCTTGCCTAAAGTTCTTTTGTGGCTTCGCATTGCTCTTTTTTTTTTTTTCTTAAAGATTTTATTTATTTATTTGACAGAGAGAGATCACAAGTAGGCAGAGAGGGGGGGGGGAAGCAGGCTCCCTGCTGAGTAGAGAGTCTGATGCGGGGCTCAATCCCAGGACCCTGAGATCACGACCTGAGCTGAAGGCAGAGGCTTAACCCACTGAGCCACCCAGGCACCCTTTCCTATTGCTCTTAGGATACAGGTTTTCCACTAGTTGAAGTCAGAACTTTTGTAAGTCAGAATGGAGTAAAACCATGAGTACCCCAGCTTTCAGAAAGTTTGTGTCATGCCACCTTGCTTTTATGAAAGACCTACATTAGTACCTGTTTTTACTAACCAAAAGAAATCTCTGGGCTCTCTGCTCAGTAGGGAGCCTGCTTCCCTTCCTCTCTCTCTGCCACCCTTTCTGCCTACTTGTCATCTCTGTCTGTCAAATAAATAAATAAAATCTTAAAAAAAAAGAAGAAGAAATTTGGAGAGGATTTTTGCTTTTAGGAAGAAAGCCATTACCATACTCACATAGGTCTGTCTACCAAATTCCTTTCTTTGGCTTGTCTCTCCAGTCTCAGCAAATGGCATAAACCCTCTTGCCCTCTTGCTTTGCTGCCTACAGCCACAGAGCCTTGTTACGTGTTGTTCCCTTAGCCTCCCACTGGTGGGGCTGCTGAGGCAGGGCCAGTGCAGGAAATCTTGACACCAGGGTGGGGTGTGTAAGCGCCTTCTCTTCTAATTCCTCACCAGTGTAGTGATTACATAAATCAAGACCTGCCAAGGACGCAGTGGTAGAAACAGGCTTCTCCTGGGACCAAGCTTACTTTTGTGGCAGAGCTGACCCGAGGCCACTGCTCTCCAGTGTATCACAAGAATATTCAGGGAAGAAAACTGTCAGAGTGACAGGCCCCCTCACACACTCAGAGTGCAGGAGTGGGAGGTAGAGCCAGGGGCTTCCTCAGTCTCCAGCACTGCCCAGGTGATGTTCATCCTCGTTCAGGGCTCCTTGCTGCCCCTCCTTTCTGGCTGTCACTCTGGTTCAGCTGCCACGAGAATGGACAGAGCCAGTTTCCCAAGATGCAACAGTCTCTGTGGCCAGAAGACAGCCTGGCCACCAGGGACACACATCGTCCAATCACAAAGCTGAGGCTACCCTTCTGGAAGTGGCCAACAGGTAGCACATTTTCCTTCTTCAAAAGCCAGCCACTGGGGGCGCCTGGGTGGCTCAGTGGTTAAAGCCTCTGCCTTCGGCTCAGGTCATGATCTCAGGGTCCTGGAATCAAGTCCCACATCGGGCTCTCTGCTCGGCGGGGAGCCTGCCTCCTCCTCCTCTGTCTCTCTCTGCCTGCCTCTCTGCCTACTTGTGATCTGTCTGTCAAAAAAAAAAAAAAAAAAAAAAAAAGCTAGCCACTGTCCACCTTGCTGGGAGAAGTGCAGTAAGCACCAGTGCATCTCTGTCTCCTGTTCCACCCGGCCTCCTTTCTAATCCCCACCTTTGTCTTCCACATCCTTGCCAGCCTTCCTGTCCATCTTGGGTCTCCTGCAGCCAGACTCCGCCTGATCTCAGGCAGTATGGAGGATCCAGTACGCAGGGTCCCCAGAGCAAATCATAGTGGTGTTCTGCAGGCTTGAAGTGTCTGATGGGGCTGCTTCCCAGGACCAGATATTTCCATCATTTAAGTGTAAAGCTCACAGGGCTTGGGACTCTGGCTCTGAGGTTGGTTTGCCTACTGTCCCATATTCTTGAGGTAGTGCCATCAGCTGGGGGAGGCTGGAGAGGCAGGGACTACAGGAGTTTGACTGAGAAAGTCCTACAGGGAAGTCCCTTGGATTCATATGACACCTTCTGAACTGTGACATTTGGTCGCCTAGAGAGGGGGGCATATCATGGAGAACTCGGACAGATTCAAACCCTCTTTGGTAACGTAATTTCTTTAAAAACGGAAACGTGGATGAGCCTCTCCTATTGCTTGGGTTCAGGCTTGCTGGAACCTTTCCCCCCTCTGCTCCTCCTTGCCTGGGTCCGTATCCTCTTCACCGCCTTCTGCAGGGGCTGGCCCTGCTGAAGCCAGCCAGTGAACTCAGTGTGGCCATGACCCCCCTATTCCGGCCCCACATCTGAGCACAGCAAAGGCTGAACCAACATTCCTTGAAGAGCAAGTCGACTCAGAACTCAGCCAACACCTGCCTTTCCTTCTTTCATAGAGCAAGGGCGTGTGACAACAGTGACAACGTTATCAGAGCGGTCAGAGCTACTGTGTGTTCCAGGCTGTGCTACCGGTCCCATGTGCTGTAGTCCATTCCATCTCTTTTTTTTTTTTTTTTGAAGATTTTATTTATTTATTTTGACAGACAGAGATCACAGGTAGGCAGAGATGCAGGCAGAGGGAGAAAGGGGGAAGCGGGCTCCCGGCTGAGCAGAGCCCAATTTGGGGCTCAGATCAAGGACCCTGAGATCACCCTGAGCCGATGGCAGAGGCTCAACCCACTGAGCCACACAGGTGCCCCTAGTCCATTCCATTTTAACAACAGTCCACAAGGTAGGTTTTTTGTTGTTGTTGTTTGTTTTCAAAGATTTTTTTTATTATTTTTTTTATTTTAGAGATTTTATTTATTTATTTATTTATTTATTTATTTATTTGACAGATCACAATTAGGCAGAGAGGCAGGCAGAGAGAGAGAGGAGGAGGAAGCAGGCTCCCCACTGAGCAGAGAGCCCGATGCAGGGCTCAATCCTAGGACCCTGGGATCACAACCTGAGCCGAAGGCAGAGGCTTTAACCCACTGAGCCACCCAGGTGCCCCTGTTTTCAAAGATTTTTATTTAGGGGGCGCCTGGGTGGCTCAGTGGGTTAAGCTGCTGCCTTCGGCTCAGGTCATGATCTCAGGGTCCTGGGATCGAGTTCCGCATGGGGCTCTCTGCTCAGCAGGGAGCCTGCTTCCCTCTCTGCCTCTCTGCCTACTTGTGATCTCTGTTAAATAAATAAATAAAATCTTTTAAAAATTTT